AGAAGTATGTTTTTTTTTTTTTTTTTTTTTGGGGGGGGGGGTGTTTTGTTTTGTTTTTTACTAAAAATACAAGCTTAGTGAGGTGGTCATAATAAGGAAACTTGGTATGAAGTATAGTCCTACAAATATCAATAAGTGCTGGTATATCTATAACTGATTTCACTCTTTGGAATGAGTTCATATGTGTATAATAATTTTTAAGGGTTCACCTTCAATTTTTACATTTTTTTCCAGGGGTCAGGATTGCTGCATCACAGTTACACTTTGCAAAGTTGGGAGAGAGAGAAGTTGCTTTTGCAATTCTTAAGAGATCCAAATAAATCTATTTATTTGGTAATCTCCAAATAAAACTATTATATTGATGTCTGGATAATATATGTTTAAAGTGGTATCATACCTTGAATTAACCCTAAAATTTACAGGTGTTCTTAATATAATTTTGCAGGTAAGCAGTCATGTTTCTCATGTTTAAGCTTTTTTGTAAGAGCTACTCGGAACACAGGTTGTACAGGTTTATCACTGATACAGCTTTAGCTTTGTATTTCTGGACAAAATGTCTAGTTTATTCTTGCATTCTTATGCTGGCCAACATAATTCCACTACTGGCAAATTGCTTTGGAAGACAGTTCTGCCTGGTCTGTTTACTTCTTTAACAGAAAATAACCATACGTACTCATTCTGAACTGTAAAGTTGTTTACTTTCTTCCACAATGTAATGCAGTAATGTTCTGCACCCTGCCTCTGTACCCCAGTCTTCCCATTATGGACTTTTTTTTTTTTACCCACACAACCAACATGCTATTAAGCCTGTCTCAGCATTTGTTTTTTTTTTTTTATTCTTCCCTCTAAATAACCAGTGTGCTTCAGGGTTTAGACGTAGGTATTTCTCTTTAGGCAGCTCCTCCAGAAGGCCTTTCCACAGAAAGCATCTCACCCTCACCAAGTACCTCTTACAGAAGGTGCAGACTTCAGGAAGTTTCTCGAGTCTTGCAAGTAAATGGGTCTGTAACTTAACAAGTCTGGGATGGTAAGTAATTTAGAAGGTTGGTATATGCCACTTTTGTTTGTTTTGTTTGTTTGTTTTGTTTCTTCCATATAACTGTTAACCTGCAGATACTGTGTTTCGTATTGGTGTACTGGTTGGGCTTAAATGGGCTCTCTTTTAAGACTATTTTAAATTTATATTTCCTGGAGTATACATCTTATTACAAGAGAACTGTTTTAAGGAGATGGACATCTGGTGTTATCTAAAGACTTTGGAGATCCTTACAAAGCATTTGAGCATACTTGTGTGACTTCTAATAAAAAGATATAATACCAGTATATTTAGCATATATATATATATAAAAATAATAGACTGATGAAAACCTTGTAATACTGAAATTTTCCCTTATCTAAGGTGTTTTGAAGCTGACTAAATTTATTTATGTAGTTTTATTTGGCGTTCCATGATCAGATTTCACATCCATAGAAACTCCGTTAGTCTGATTAGGCAGTTATGTAAGAACTTATTTATAGAGAGGAAAATAAGACCAAATTTTTTGAAGAAGTTACATTCTTGTAAGATTAAAACCTCAGACCGAAATCTAGAACCCAAGGTAGGCATCCTCTGCAGTGTGGAGGAAGAATGCTGCCTCAGAATGGCAATTCAGAAGACTCAGGTACTAGATAAGGAGCAGTCTTGAGCTTATGAGTACTAAGTATTACAGAGGGGTGTGGGGTATGGCTATGTTTTTCCCTGCAGTTTAGGCTGAAGTCAATCCTGTTCTGACTACAATCCAAAACTCACTCCTGAAGGCAGAGTACTGCAGCAAT